AGACAGTCGTTCTCATCTATTCGCCGAGGCTAAAAAAAAAAAAACAGAAAAGTTTTTTGGTTTCCATGTAGTCAAATTTGCTTAGCTATTCTTTTGTAGTTTCTGGATTTCTAGTCATTAGGGTATACTCTCATTTTCCAGAATTTTTTTGTCTGGTGGGATATTAATTTCATTTTAATTTTTATATTCACTTTATATTCATCTGGTTTATTTTTTATTTATTAGCAGGTATAGTATAAATTAGTAGTCTAGTAGTAGAGTAGCATAGTAGTAGTAGTATAGTAGCATAGTAGTATTAGTAGTATTAGCAAGTGTAGTATGAATTCCAGTTTTGTGAGCTTCATTTATTTTTTATAAATGCTAATTCGGCCATATAATAATTTTCCTATATACTGACATCTACTTCTGCATTCTTACTTGCTCCTCTTGGCTTGTCTAGTATTTCATATGCTGAGCCAGAGTGATCTGATACCAGCAATGTTTTTTTTTTTTAACGACATTGATATTTAAAGACAGGGTCTGGATATATTGCTCAGGCTGGCCTTTAACTCCTGACCTCAAGTGATCCTCCAGTCTCACCAGCCTGGAGCCGGGATTACAGGTGTGTGCCACTGCGCCCTGCTAATTGGAATGTTTTCTTGTTCTTTTATTTTCTCAGTGCTTTTGCTGGAAGATAAAACTAATATTTTTCTATTTACTATCCAATCTAGCTTACTAAATTCTTCTAATTTCGTAAAATCTCTAGTAAAGTCTTTTGAGTTTTTTTCTTTTTTTTTCCTTTTTGAGACAGAGTCTCGCTCTGTTGCCTGGGCTGGAGTGCAGTGGCATCAGTCTGGCTCCCAACAACCTCAAACTCCTGAGTTCAAGCAATCCTTCTGCCTCAGCCTCCCTAGTAACTGGGACTACAGATCACAGATCATGCACCACTGTGCCTGGCTATTTTTTTCTATATATGTTTAGTTGTCCAGCTAATTTCCTTTTATTTTTAGTAGAGATGTTGTCTCGCTCTTGCTTAGGCTGGTCTGAAACTCCTGAGCTCAAACGATCCTTCCGCCTCGGCCTCCCAGAGTGCTAAGATTATAGGAGTGAACTACCGCGCCTGGCCGTCTTTTGAGTTTTTAGGTACATAATTCCATGATCAAAAAGGCAGATACAGGCCGGGCGCGGTGGCTCACGCCTGTAATCCTAGCTCTCTGGGAGGCCGAGGCGGGCGGATTGCTCGAGGTCAGGAGTTCGAAACCAGCCTGAGCAAGAGCGAGACCCCGTCTCTACTATAAATAGAAAGAAATTAATTGGCCAACTAATATATACAAAAAAATTAGCCGGGCATGGTGGCACATGCCTGTAGTCCCAGCTACTTGGGAGGCTGAGGCAGGAGGATCCCTTGAGCCCAGGAGTTTGAGGTTGCTGTGAGCTAGGCTGATGCCACGGCACTCACTCTAGCCTGGAAAAAAAAAAAAGGCAGATACATGGTTGTGCGTGGTGGCTCATGCCTGTAATCCTAGCACTCTGGGAGGTGGAGGTGGCGGATTTCTAGAGGTCAGGAGTTCGAAAGCAGCCTGAGCGAGACCCCATCTCTACTAAAAATAGAAACCAATTATTGACAAACTAAAAATATATATACAAAAGAAAAAAATTAGCCGGGTATGGTGGTGCATGCCTATAGTCCCAGCTACTCGGGAGGCTGAGGCAGTAGGATCCCTTGAGCCCAGGAGTTGAGGTTGTTGTGATCTAGGCTGACACCACGGCACTCACTCTAGCCTGGGCAACAAAGTGAGACTCTGTCTCAAAAAAAAAAAAAGGCAGACACATATATATATTTTTACCAGTGATCATCCTTTTTTTGGTCCTCTTGAATACACTAAAACCAGTGTTAATGGATATCCTTAGATAGTTCTTGATTTTAATTGAGCTTCTCTTAGTGTTTAATTATTTAGGATAATATTGACTTATTGGTATTCCATTAGCAGTCTATTACTATTTTAATTAAAGCTTTATTTTTTTTTAATGACTGGCTGCTGAAATTTAATCAAATTCCTTTCAGCATCTGCTGATACCATATAACTTTTCTTTTTAATTTGTTAATATAATGAATTATGTTGATAGATTCTCTGTTAAGTAAACCAACTTTGTGCTTCCGGAACACTCTATTTGGTTACAGTGTAATTTTTCTGATTCATCAATATATTCATATTTTATTTAGAGATTTGGCATCTATATTTATAAATTAATTTGGTTTCTAGTTTTTTTGTAATCTTTATCGTTTTAACATTCATGAAGTCAGCATAATTTTAAATGAATTAGAGATTTCACTCTTTTCCCATGGCCTAAAATAGTTAAATATTGAACTATTTGGTTCTTGATCTTCGTTTTCTTCAATTAGCTCTTTTTTTTGAGACAGAGTCTCATTCTGTTGCCTGGGCTAGAGTGCTGTGGCATCAGCCTAGCTCATAGCAACCTCAAACTCCTGGGCTCAAGCAATCCTTCTGCTTCAGCCTCCTGAGTAGCTGGGACTACAGGCATGTGCCACCATGCCCGGCTAATTTTTCCTATATATGTTTTTAGTTGTCCAGCTAATTTCTTTCCATTTTTTTAGTAGAGACGGGGGTCTCGCTCTTACTCAGGCTGGTCTCAAACTCCTGAGCTCAAATGATCTACATCCTCGGCCTCCCAGAGTGTTAGGATTACAGGCATGAGCCACCGTGCCCGGCCTTCAACCAGCTCTTGAGTTTTTCTTTTTAAAATGTGTGTTTCTCTTTCTCTATATATTTTAGGCCCCTGCTTGTGGATTTACCCTTTCAACTAAATGTTTTTCTTTCAATAATTTTAGTTTGTATCTTTTAGGCTATATACTAGGTTCTTTCCTTTTAATGATGTGAACATTTAAGGCTATACAGTTTGCTCAGGCATGACTTTTAGATTTGGAGATCCTGTGTTCCTAAAATGAAGGAGAAAAATTTTCTAAATTAAAAAATAGGATATACTGATTTAAGGTTGTGAATTGCAAGTCTGGAATGGAGTCATGAGGAAATTGGGAAAACTGATTCCAGACCTCACTGGGATAAGGCCTGGGCTCTTTGAGCCCGAGATTGGGGACCATGTCTGCCACAGACCCTCAGGGCCCAGAGCAGTGCCTGGCACAGAGTAAGGCACCACTGAATACCTACTGACTAGAAGGGACAGATGACTGACTGAACACCACAAGAGGGAAAGCTAGCAAGTGGAACCAGAGAGGTTATAGACTCACTGAAGGTCACACAGCTCATGGCAGAGCTGACCTGAAATCCCAAACCTCATCAATTCTCAATCCAGGGATCTATCAGCTCACAAACAAGGGATTAGCAGGGTCAGAATGGATCTGGCTTCTGAAACAATACAGCCGAAATAAAAACAGAGTTAGTGACACAATCTAGGGAAATGTTGAGGGTTAAGGGGGTGCTACATGCTGGTCAAAAAGGGAACTTTTCTGTTTACTTGAAATTTGCAGAGTAGATCTAAGTGTCCTCACCATGTGCATACACGTGCACACACACACACACACACACACACACAGAAATGGTAACTGTGTGATGATGGATGTGTTAATTAATTTGATCATGGTAATAATTTCACAGTATATACTATTTATCAAATCATCACATTGTGTATCTTGACTATATACAATTTGGGGGGGGAGAATCACACGTACCTCAATAAAGCATAAAAAGAAAGAGATCTTATCAAAGTGACCTGTCTATGGAAACAAGAAGAGGGACTGAGTTTCAAGGGCTCTGGTTCACTCAGTGGGTGCAGACAGATGTTTAAGCTAAAGGTCTCTGAAACAGGTGGATCCAGGTCTCCTGGGGAGTGTTTGGCATTCCCTAGTATGGTGGTCCTGACGGCAGGAAGGCTGGTGGCTTCACAGCTCTCTGGGATCCTTGGGGCAAGGCAACGGGTCCCACTGGTAGTTTAATCCTGGTTGATGGGCTAAGGCCAGTGGCCCCAGAAGCCCCTTTGGACCTTAGCACCCCTCTCTAGCACCAGGGAGGAGGAAGGACAAGCCATGTGCCCCCTGACTAACCATCCCGCCAAGCACTGGCTCAGGAAGCAGTGGGCGACGGGGAGAGCCTGCCCCAGCCCCCCTCCCTAGGAGCCAGCAACACTGAGGACAGAACGGGCAGGGGGGTGCCGAGCTCCCCAACCCTACTCTCCTCCCTATCCCAAGAAGCCCTTTGAAAGGTTTTCCTGGCAGAGTTTAAAGCTTCAATTCATTCAACTGCCTGGCATGACGCCCAGGATGAGGGGATGCTGGGAAGGCCCCAGCCCCGCACCCCAACCCTTACCTTAGCTGCCCCTACTTTCCTGGGACCCCTGCTGGCAGGCCTCCTATTGGCCTCTCTCCATCCAGTGGCACCCACCCCCTTTCTCCTTGGGAACCCAGGTATCCTGCCATTTTCCTGTGGAGCAGATGGCCACCCTGGAGGCTCAGGCTTGCTAAATCAGACATTTAAATCCCATAATCCTTGGTGAGAGGCTGGCGAGGGGGCAGCAGCCCAACCCTAGAAGCAGGGGAGGGAAAGAACCTTGTGCCAGCCCTGGCAGGAGGGGAGGAGGGACAGTTGGTTCCCTGCTTGTGAATGAAGTCACCCCCCTCCCTTGTTGTCATGCAGCCCACAGACTGACCCAGTCTCCAGCTTTTGTTCCCCTCCCGGAACCTGGGCGTTGGGTCCCCCCAGCCTGCACTCCCTGGAGACTCAGGTGGCTGCCTCCCAACTTCACCTCCCCACTCACCCCTGCACCTGTGGCCCGGCAGCCTGCACTGGCATCCACCCCACAGACACACAGGTAGTAGTAAATTTTATTGTAAAATAGGGGTATATAAAAATGGGATATAAAAAGGGAAGAGAAGGGGTGGGGATAACAAATGCAGATGTGCCTTGCAGAGTGTAAAAGAAATTGACCCTGAGCATTTGGGGGAAGTAAAGCAGGCCTTAGTGGATCCAGATCCTACATAAAAGATGGAATCCTCCAGGGTGTGGGATGGGGCAAGACTTCCTTTTAGGTGCCAAGTTCACCAAGAGGTTGGACAGGATATGGCTGAGTTTAAAGTCTCAGCAGAGACTTAGAAACTCGCAATATACACACCAACAGGAACAGGGAACAAGCCAAATCCTAGACTCCATGTAATAAAAGGTGGCTCCGAGATCAGACATACATCGTTTCATTAACCCTCACAACAAACTCCGTGAGGTAGGTGTGATTATCCACATTTCACAGATATGGCCACTGAGGCCAGGGCAAAGTAAACAGTTGGAAATGGCTTCGTGCTTAGTACAGTGGAGAACTGGGCTTCCCACCAGTGCAGGGCTGATTGTAAAATCTAACCCTTACATGGAAGAACATTTTCTTACCTCTCCCAAACATTCCTCACAGTAAAAACCTTAAAAGCTAAGCCAGTTATGTCCTAGTTCCTACCACTCTGTCCCCAGAATACCAGTGCAGGCCTACTTCTTCAGTAAAGCCCAGGCTAAGGCTGACAGAAGAATTCCTGGGTGTTTCTGAGGCACACCCACAGCAAGCAGGGATTCCAGATACCCAAAAATGCCAGGGAAGTTGGGTACGGGTAGGAGGGTGCCAATGGGGGACAAGAAGCAGAGGGCGTCAATCCGAGTCAGGCCCTTCTCTCTTGAACATTAATTTTTTATGGCGGGAGGTAGATTGCCCCTTCTTGGACTTCAGGTGGCTGTGGGAGACAGAAGAGGGGAGGAAGAGAGATGACATGATATGAATGAGAGGGTCTGGGCCCCCTCATCCTTAATTAGGGCTTTGAAGGGCCTAAGGCTGGAAAGGGGGATTTAAGATGGCCACCGCCACATGCAGATAGGCTTCCTGAGCATCTTGGGGTATTTGAATATATTAATCTCTTTATCTTCCCTTACCCCATTTTATAAATGAGGAAACAGCCTGAGAGGGGAGTCACAAGGTCACTCAGGACCTGCTAGTACTTGTCAGGGCCAAGTATCTGACCTCAAACCCAGGCTCTGCCTAACACTTCTATGCAATTATCAGGCCCCTCCTTGAGACTCCCCTAGCCTTGGGCTAGGAGTTGCTGAGAAGGGCAGAGAAGTATCCACACTCATCCCTGGGTTTGAGAGGTCTGTGGATCCATGGAGGCAGGAAAGTGGATGTACCACACAACTGGAGGCAGACTAAAAAACCTTTACACAGGGCAGGGACCCAGTGGGATGGGATTCGCTGTCTTTTACCATGAGGGCAGGATATAATGGAATCCTATAGCTTTCCAACATAGGAAGGCAGGGGAGCAGGGGTGGGAAGGGACCCAGGTCACTTACCTGGAGTGAGCCCTGCTCTCCCCTGGCTCCTTCCCAGTCTGGGCATCCTTGAATTCCAAGGCCTCATTCAGCATTCGGAACATCTCAAAACGTTCACGCCCACGGATCTACAGCAGGGAAGGAGAGGGATAAAGAAGGACAGATGGTCTCTAGCTTAAGATGGTTCAACTTACAATTTTTTGACTTTATGATGGTATGAATGCAAGTCACATTCAGTAGAAACCATATTCTGAGAACCCATGCAACCAAGTTTTTCACTTTCAGTATATTATTTGCTAAATTACATGAGATATTCAACACTTTAATATAAAACAGGCTTAGTGTTAGATGATTTTGCCCAACTGTAGGCTAAGATAAGTGTTCTAAGCACATTTAAGACAGGCTAGGCTAAGCTATGATGATCAGTACTTTAGGTGTACTAAATGCATTTTCAACTTACGATGAGTTTATCAGGAAGTAACACCAAGTCAAGAAGCATCTGTATCGGGCATTTTCATGCTCTCTTTAACAATTTTCTTTTTGAAATGTGGTCCTTTAAAATGTATATTGTGGTAAAAGTTGGTGTTTTGAAGTTAGGTACCACCAGGAGGCATTGTCTCCGAGGCACAACTGCCCTCTAATGGCAAATGCCCTAATTGCAGGCAAAGCGGGCTAGAAGAAAATAGCATTTTGAGTGATAGACTTGGAACTTTCAACCTGATAATATTAACTTTACAAGAGTCAGAGCCATGGATAGAGGAAAGAATGGATAGAGAAACTGGGCCTGACCTCATATTCCCTACATTTTTATCTTTTCTTCCATTATCCAACCCCACTTAGTATATGCAAGAAACTGTGCATCTGTCTCTCCCAGACTTGGTACCTGAAGGGTGAAATATTCTCCATCCAGTGGTTTCTTCTTTGGCGGGGGAGAAGAGCTGGTGTTGGTGGGCAGTGCTGGGAAAGGGGCAAGGAAAGGTGAGAAAAGAGTGAATCTGGGGCAGAACCCCACCCTCTGCCTCCTCCACCTCCCCTTGTCCCGCCTGCTCACCTCGCTTAGCGCTCCCAGAGCAAGGCTCCCCTTTCTTGCGAAAATTTTCTTCCTCTGTGCGCCGGTCTCTTCCAGGACAGGCACAAACACGCACCTCAAAGCTGTTCCGTCCCAGCACGATACCGCTACCCAGGGTAAGAAGGGAGAAACAGGAAGCATTAAGGAAGTCGTGTCCTACCTGCCCTCTTTTACAACCTAGGTCCACCCACTCCCAACTGCCCTTGTCCTATCTGGAGCCTAAGCTCCAGCTCCAGGTCTATGGAAGGGAAGCTACGGGTGAGAGAGAGGTCCCAAAGCCAGAGAAAAGAAAACTGAGAGGCAGGAGTAGAGGAGATGCCCTGTGTCGGGATGGGGGGCAGTATCGAAGAAAGTGGTGTGGGGCAGGCCCAGGTGACGGAGGCTGGGGTGTGAAGGGTGGCCTATGGCTCCCTACTTGGAATCTTCCAGTGTGATGATGGTGACAATGGGCCGCCGGTTCATGCCACCCATGCAGGAACTGTTACACATGTAGTTGTAGTGGATGGTGGTACAGTCAGAGCCGACCTGGGAGAGAATAGAGGTCCAAGGTGAGGCCTTTAGACTCTGTAAGCTTCAGTTTCCTCAGCTGTGCAAGGGGGTAACCCATTTGCTCTGCACACCTCACAGGGCTGTGGGGAGGCGGAGTAAGGGGCAGGCGAAAGCCCTCCCACCTTCCACCTGGATGGCCACTGACAATTGTCTCCACCCCCTTCCCCCCTCCAGACCCAGCTGCCAAACCAGACCTCAGGCGGCTCATAGGGCACCACCACGCTGTGTCGAAAAGTGTTTCTGTCATCCAAATACTCCACACGCAAATTCCTTTCCACCCGGATAAGATGCTGGGAAGGAGCCAGACCTAAGAGCATAGGGAGGAATCAGAGGCCCGGGCAGCCTGGACAGCCAGCTCTGTCCCCTCGCCGGCCTCCAGCTACTCACCATCGCTATCGGAGCAGCGCTCGTGGTGGGGGCAGCGCCTCACGACCTCCGTCATGTGTTGTGACTGCTTGTAGATGGCCATGGCGCGGATGCGGCTGCCTGGCGGGGGCGTGGAGTCCACCCACAGCTGCACGGGGCAGGTCTTCGCCAGCTGGCAAAACATCTTGTTGAGGGCAGGGGAGTACTGCAGGGAAAGGAAGGGACAGAATGGAAAGTCAGGGGACAAGCAAACCAAGCGAAAGGGGCATTAGGGGAACAAACTCTGCTCAAGCACCCGCCGGAAGCTGTGCACTGTGTGCGGAGGTTCGCTGGAGACAGTGGGGTTGGGGTCTACACCGCAGAAGCTGCTTTTCAAAAGCCAAGGAATGAATGTGAGTAAAGAAAAAGGAAGAAAATGCCCATGTCCCCATGAGATGCTGAGAGTGTGACAGGAAGGATGAAAGCTCGCGGTCAAGGGGGAAAATCCAACTTTGGGACAGAGGTCAAAGGTCACAGAGTAAATGGGTACAATGTAAAAAGACTGACAAGGGCCAGGCGCGGTGGCTCAGGCCTATAATCCTAGAACTCTGGGAGGCAGAGGCGGATGGATTGCTCTAGGTCAGGAGTTGGAAACCAGTCTGAGCAAGAGTGAGACCCTGTCTCTACTATAAATAGAAAGAAATTAATTGGCCAACTAATGTATATAGAAAAAATAAGCCGGCATGATGGTGCATGCCTGTAGTCCCAGCTACTCAGGAGGCTGAGGCAGGAGGATCGCTTGAGCCCAGGAGTTTGAGGTTGCTGTGAGCTAGGCTGATGCCACGGCACTCACTCTAGCCTGGGCAACAAAGTGAGACTCTGTCTCAAAATAAATAAATAAATAAAAATAAAAAGACTGACAAGAAGCTGAAGTCCAAAGTTCTGAACAGAAAAATGTAGGGGGATACAGCCAGACTTGGAAAGGTCACATGAAAGCCAGCCATTCAGGGCCACTGACCGTGCAGGTGACAGACTTGGCTGTCCCAGAATGCAAGAAGCCCAGACGGAAACCGTAGTTGCCAGGGTAGGTCTTCTGGGAAGGGACAGAGGATGACAGGGGCCAGGTTGGTGTGGAGGCCACTGGTGTAGGAGTAGCTGGCACGGGGGCCGCTGGTTCTGGATTCTCTGACATTCTGGCAGCTTCATCTGGGCCTTCGGTGAACCAGCCTGCAAAGTCTTCTGCGGACAGCATCAGATCGTCCACTGGTGGGGACAGCGAGGAGGACTACGGTAGACAAAACAAGAGTCAGAGGGCCAAGTTCCCAGCCCAGCAGTCCACCAACCAACCCCTGCCCCCTGTACCCCTAGTCCTTACCAGAACGTTGTTTTCAGGAAGTCTGAAAGACAAGAGCAGAAAGTCAGTACCATGGATTTTTTGCTTCCCATGGGCCTCTGCTGGGGGTTGGGGACTTGGGATTGGGGCGGGTGGGGGACGGTGAGCCTGCCCTTCCCATGAGATCCACTCACAGTTTCCATAAGTCTGAAAACGTCTCCTGACTCAGAGGGGCCTCAATGCTGAGATCTGACTGCGGCTCCTCCATGGCAGTGGCCAGGAACACAGTCTGGCTGCTGTGAGGGGAAAAGTGAGGATCTGGCATGAGACACACCCAACGCTGGGTCACCTGGGCCCGAGGAGGGAGGGTCTCCCTCCCGCAACACCTATCAGAGCCCGAGACACAGCATGACCTCCCAAGGAGCAGGAACAGAGCGTTCCTTCAATCTCCTCATCTCCCACCACACCCCAGGCTGCTCCTGCCCACCTCGCCAGCCGCACAGCTGAGGAAAAGATAACCAAAGAGGGACTTCCAACCTTCCCACCACTACACTCACAGGCCCTGCCGAATCTGCACCTGATTTCCACCCTCGTTCTTGTTAAAGGATGTAGTATCTCTCAGCCTACTCCCTCCACATGGGGGAGGACCCCCTTGAAGCCCACTGTTCCCCTGATACACAGCTTCATTTCTCTGATCCCTTTCATTGCAAAGCTTCCTGAAGAACCAGTCTCACCTCCTGCCTGCCCATTCTCTTGGGAGCTCCTCACCCCTGCCTTCCCAACCCCTCAGGAATGGCCCCTGCCTTCCTCTGTAATCTTCTCTCCTGCCAAACATGCCCCCTTTCCCCCGGCATGCTCTAGCGAGACTGGCTGCCCTTCTCTGCTCATCAACAGTCCTCTATGAAGAGGGCTCTGTCCCCACCAATGCCCCCATGCGGGCTCCTTCCCACCGAGATTTCACCCTGAACGTCACACCTCCTTGGTGATGTTTCTCCAGATCACTCAATCAGCCACACTCTATCAAGTCATTTATTTTATTTCCCATCACCCTATTTTCATTTTCACAGTACTTACACTGCCTGATACTTTTTCTGGTTTATTCCATCTGTTTCCTCTAGTAGACTATACACTTCCTCAGGGTAGGGGAGTGATCTGTCACTACCGATCTTGTGCACCACAGTATAACACAATGCCTTGCACCTGGTCGGGCTCAATAAATGTGGTGAATAAGGCAATCACTGAGCCCAGGCCACGAGCAAGGGGTCATGAGGGGTCGAGCAAGGTCAGAGGGGCTGCCCCTGTCCAGGTCAGGGTCTTGCACAAGGCTATGCAACTGTCACCTCACCTTCTCCCAGACCAGCTTTCTTTTCTTTTCTTTTTTTTTTTTTTTTGAGACAGAGTCTTGCTTTGTGGCCCAGGCTAGAGTGAGTGCTGTGGTGTCAGCCTAGCTCACAGCAACCACAAACTCCTGGGCTCAAGCGATCCTACTGCCTCAACCTCCTGAGTAGCTGGGACTACAGGCATGTACCACTGTGCCTGGCTAATTTTTTCTCTCTCTATATTAGTTGGCCAATGAATTTCTTTCTATTTATAGTAGAGACGGGGTCTCGATCTTGCTCAGGCTGGTTTAGAACTCCTGCCCTCAAACAATCCATCCGCCTCGGCCTCCCAGAGTGTTAGGATTACAGGTGTGAGCCACCGTGCCCGGCCCAGACCAGCTTTCTAATAGCTTCACCATGCCATCTTTCTTAATGCCAGACTTGTCATCAGCTTTGCTAAGAAACATAGCCACTATAAATGCTCCTTACACTCTTCTGTCCTGGACTGACAAACATCCCCCTACCAAGCAGCTCCATTAATGGCGGCCTCTTTTCTAATCTTCTTTAACATTTTCCTCTGCCTTTATGTGGATATGGGGCTTTCTTCCTTGTGTACTTAGAGTTTGCAAAATCCTTTCACATGGATTGTCTTATTTGTCCTGATAACCACACCTGCCACTTGGCAGGTGAAATCTCTGAGAGGTTATATAAACTGCCCAACTCCTACACACAGGAGGTGAGTGAGTTTTAATTATCTGTGAGTAAGATGTGTACTTCATCAGACTCCTCTGCAAAGCTCTATTTTGTGATCAGTTAAGGCAGATCTTAGCTGATGTAAGTGCTCTGAATGAGGTTGGCAAAGGGTCAGGTATCAAAGCCCCTCAGCGCTGAGTAGAACTGAGCAGAGATTAACTGTGCACATGCATGGATGAAGGTAAGAGAGGGGCGGCCAGAGTGAGTCCAAGGTAAGAGAGGGGCGGCCAGAGTGAGTCCAAATACTTGCCCTGGGGGGAAGAACCAGGGTTCCCCTAGTCACTGATCAAAGGAAAAGACTTTTATGGGGAGGAGTTCATGAGAATGGGGTGCAGGCTCAAAATTAGAAGCCCTGACAGAGGAGGGGTAAAAAAAGGTAAAAAACAGGCGGTGTAGTGGCTCACCTCTGTAATCCCAGCACTCTGGGAGGCTGAGGTGGGTGGATCATTGGAGCTCAGGCGTTCGAGACCAGCCTGAGCAAGAGCGAGACTCTGTCGTCTCTACTAAAAATAGAAAGAAATTAGCTGAACAACCAAAAATAGATAGAAAAACATTAGCTGGGCATGGTGGCTCACGCCTGTAATCCTAGCACTCTGGGAGGCCGAGGCAGGTGGATCGCTTGAGCCCAAAAGTTTGAGGTTGCTGTGACTTAGGCTGATACCAACAACACTCTAGGCTGGGCAACAGAGTGAGACTCTGTCTCAAAAAAAAAAAAAAAAAAGGTAAAAAACAACAACAACAAAAACAAAATGAAAGAAAACAGGAAGCTCTGGGTTTGACATTGTATTGTTATGCAAATTTATTGTGTGACCTTATTTATCTAAAAGGGATTACCTCTGGGCTTCCTCATTTCTAAGAATTGGATTTTACTGTCTTTATGTTTTCAGTGCAAAGTGCCCAGGGGCTAGGAAACATTGGAAGCTTTTGCAGAGCATGAGCTCTGAGAGCAGACAGGTTAGGCCCATACTGTGCAACTTTGGGAGGTTAATTAACCTCTCTGGGCCTTAGTGTTCTTTGTTCTAAAATACAGTAGTACCTTGGGTAATATAAAGAGCTGAGAAAAGTGCCTGGCACATAGTAAGACCTCAAGAAATGTTAGCTGTTTATTCAATCGCTCTTTTTTATTTGTTCTATATTATTATTATTATTTTTCTTTTCTTTTTTTTTTTTTTTTGAGACAGAGTCTCACTTGTTGCCCAGGCTAGAGTGAGTGCAGTGACATCAGCCCAGCTCACAGCAACCTCAAACTCCTGGGCTCAAGCAATTCTACTGCCTCAGCCTCCCGAGTAGCTGGGACTACAGGCATGTACCACCAGGCCCAGCTAATTTTTTCTGTATGTATCTATTAGTTGGTCAATTAATTTCTTTCTATTTATAGTAGAGACAGGGTCTCACTCTTGCTCAGGCTGGTTTCAAACTCCTGACCTGGAGCAATCCGCCCACCTCGGCCTCCCAGAGTGCTAGGATTACAGGCGTGAGCTACCGCACCCGGCCTCTCAGGCTGGTCTTGAACTCCTAAGCTCAAGCCATCCTCCCACCTTGGCTTCTCAGAGTGCTAGTGTTACAGGTGTGAGCCACCACGCCTGGCCTATTTGTTCTATATTATTATTCTAGAAAGAACTTTGTGACCGTGAGTTTCTGTGGATTTGGGTGCTGCTCCCACACCATTATTGCAAGTGCACCTCCTTCTGGGAGCTCTGTTCAGGAAACTTGCTAGGAGGGGCTGTCCTGGAATGGTGAGCACAAGGTCTCAATCCTACTTGCAGGAGACAGCCCCACAGACACGGGAGGACTCCCTGTCTCCCATCATTCAGGTGTTCAGTAGCAACTAAATTCTCAATGTTTTTCTAAAGGGTCGTTACAGTCATTATTAGCAAGCCTTTCATGACACAAATGTGCCAAGCTAACTGGACCTTCCAGGTGGTTAGGGAGGCAGGATGTAAACAAGGAAATGCAGGCACCACTGGCTGGGTGGGAAGGCCATAAGCTCAGATGAGACTCAAGGAGGGGCATGCCTGACTCCATAATCATAACAATGACCGCTGTTATAGGCCTTACAGGCCCACAGGCCCAGTGCTTTCAGTAGCTTATTTTATTTGGTCCCCTAAAAAGCCAGCAAGGTAGGTTCCAGAAGAGGGAACTCAGAGTTCAAAGAATTAAGTCATTTACTCAGGCTCCTAAAACTCTGAAAAGAGGCCTGGCGCGCGGTGGCTCATGCCTATAATCCTAGCACTCTGGGAGGCCAAGGTGGGCGGATTGCTCAAAGTCGGGAGTTTGAAACCAGCCTGTGCAAGAGGGAGACCCCGTCTCTACTACAAATAGAAAAAGAAATTAATTGGCCAACTAATATATATAGAAAAAATTAGCCAGTCATGGTGGTGCATGCCTGTAGTCCCAGCTACTCGGGAGGCTGAGGTTGCTGTGAGCTAGGCTGATGCCAGGGATTTCAACCTGGGATGTTTGAAGCCACACCCAATCTAGAAATAATTATGCTCCTAAGCGTTCACCAAGTTTGGCATAAAATTTTTTTTTGGCAGAACGCTATCTAAATGAGGAAAAATTTTTGATTCTAGAAAGTAACAAAGCAGTTTCTAGTAGCATTGGAAACACACCTTTCTACTTAGCAAAACCACTTTTATCAGACTCCCTAGAAAAATGGTTGCACATGGACAACAGGGGTTTTGTACAAAAAACATTCCTGTCAGTGTTGTTCCTAATGGCAAGTGACAAGAAACATGAGACTCCATAGGTAGGGAACGGTAAATAAAACATGTTTCTGAAACACATTGGGTGAAAAATATAATTTATAGATAAAAGCAAAACATGGTATATCCAACAGTTAATGTAAAAACTATAGAACTACTATTTAGTATTTATAAACATAAGTGTGTAAAAGTGTCAAAAACAGTCAAGAAGAAAAAAATTCACAAAACCTATGATAGTGATGGTCTCAGGAACAGGAGTAGTACGTTCATGGGACTAGGGCTGATAGTCAAACAAGGATTTAGCTTTATTAACAATGAAAAGGAAAAGGTATCCATACATTATTTGTGTAATTAAAATATGGAAACAAGGTCAGGCATGGTGGCTCACATCTGCAATCCTAGCACTTTGAGAGGCTAAGAAAGGAGGATCACTTGAGGCCAGGAGTTCGAGGTCAGCCTGAGCAACATGGTGAGGCTCTTGTCTCTACAGAAAATAGAAAAATTAGCTAGTGTGGTTGT